ATAAAAGGAAATGTGCACACATGTACACACACATGTGTACACATGTATGCACATGCATATACATACATGTGCACATGCATATACCTATATGTATATAGGGGTTAAAACAAACGTTCAGATACTTATAAGCAAACAAGTGCAGTCCTCAGCCAGAAACTCTTTTTAACAACTCGAACACTCACAACAGAAGTTTATTATGAATGAAAAGCAGCAGGGAACAGACCCTCTTCTGGCAAAGAGAGAGCTATTTTTCGCTTCCCTTGGTCACTATCTTTAGTGCTTTACATTCTCGGAAACCAGGAATGTGAATATGGATTCGTTGTGAAGCGACACACAATTATCTAACGCCAATTAGGGGGGTGGAGAAGCCTGTGGAATCCGTGCCAGTGAAACGCGACAGCATGTCAGCCATCAACATAGGCATTGAGGTCTGGTGACAAAGGCCGCATGGTCCCTGAAACGTCCATGGCCTGGGCATTCCCGACCACGGCCAGGGAGCTATTTACATCTTAGCACAGAAAAGAATCGACAGAAAACTGAAAAACTCTGGCTGTCACACAAAACATAATCAAAGCGCCTAACCCAGGGCGGCCGCGGCGGGACACGGGGTATTTCTCTGAAATTAACTGCTCTGTTCTCAGGCAAATCTGGACTAACCGAGGAATATTTTGGATAGGAGGTTTTGCTGAGTCTCTGTAGACGCACAGGGCAGACTACAGTCAGCATGAGGGGTGTCAGGTGCGTCAGGATGACAAGCAAGTTAAGGCTAACCTCGGTGACCATGGTGGCAGGCTGCGTTATGACCAGGGAAGTGGCCGCCGGTGTTTGCAGAAAGTCAGCCGGCAACACACACAGGGCAAACAACACTGCCTCGGCGAACCCTCCCCGCTGCTGAATAGCCTGTCTGACCTGCATCCCTCGGCCGAAGGAGAAGTCATTCTTCAAGCTTCTGGAAGACTGTGCTGACCTGGAGGGAGCACAGGGTATTCCTGGCCCTCTGTCCGACCAGGACCGGCTGACTTTGTTTTCGAGCCATGTATGAAAACACAGTTTGCTGAAAAGCTAACAGAGCAAAACGTGTGTGCGTGGCATCTTGAGTTTCTGCGGGGGTGACCGTATCCACCGCACTGCAGTGACTGTGTGCCACGTCAGGCAGGCCTGCTCTGTCTCCTTCATGTCCCCTCTGGAACCCGAATGTCTAGCACCGTGCCTCCCTGGTACACGGCACACGCTTTGTTGGCATCCCCTAAAGGAACAAAGAACTGCCCAAGGAATGAAATGCCCACCCTCTAAGAGTCCACTTCAGCCTCACCGTTTACATCGAGGTGGCGTTTCTGATTCACACCCTGAAAGGAGTCCAACAAACCAGTACTTAATGATGCTTTCTTAGTGGCTCGTTCAAAATGCCCACAGAGCTCAATCTATATAAACTGTTCCCCAGGGAAACGAGCCTCTCTCCCTGCTGTCTGACTATGTGCGCTTTCCTGACAGTCCTTGTGCTCTGAAGGGAGAGTCTTATCACCGCTCCCCTTGACTCAGATGCTATTAATCAGGACAGTGCACAGTGAGTCTGATACTAAAGGACCCACCATGGACACCTGGGTCTTTGTGCTCTTCCCGGAGCTGGGTTTGACTGACATCAGTCCTGAGTTACTGTATTTATTCTTCATGATCCCTTAGGTTCGTGATTTACACTTATGTTAGTCTTTAGGAGTTGGGAATAAGAGACCCAAAAAGGCACACTGAGAACCATGGCCATGGTTTTTTTGATTACCTCATGGTCCCAGGACATGCTGCTGGCTAGCACACAACACATTCATCATTGTAAGTGACCGTGCAACATCTTGGTCACTTCCACGGAACAGCAAACCAAGCAAGGCTTCCAAATTGATAATCTTTTTTTTTCCTTAGCTGCCATGAAAACCTGGTACTTGATTCCAGAAATCACGGGAAAGTAGGTAGTAGGAGGGTTATACGCACTTCTGATAAGCCATCATTTGTTGCTTAGACACAAAGAATGGCAAAGACTGAGTTCGTAGCTGCAAAACATGAGACGTGCTTTAAAGCAGCCAGGAAGGATGAACGTTCAAATACAACTTTGTGCATTCAACATTTTTCAAACACGCTACATGAGCTGACACTAAGCTGGGCGCTCACCGGAGACACACAGTAACACAGCATTGCCCTTCTTGCTTAAGGAGCTCGCGATTTCCAGGGTGGGCAGACACATGCACAGTTTATCCTGGTCCTCCAGGGTAACCTGAGGGTTCCTGTCTACAGCTGGTTTTGCGAAGCACAGAACAGGAAGCAACCAACTATACATGAGGAGGTTAAAGAAAATTTCACAGAGGAGAAGGTAGTGGGGCTTCACTTTGCAGGAAGCAGAGGTTTACGCCTGGAAAAATCTGAAGGGATACGTTTCGGGCAGAGGAAGATGCATGAATGAAAGCAGAGGGTGAAAATATAAGCTGTCTCCAGCAATGTGCGGGGTCCAATGTGGCTGGAGGGGAGACCACTGGGGGAGGAGGTGACAAATGAGAGTGGAGAAATTGATTAAAGCAAGATGGCATCCAGTTTTGGGTGTGCCCATAACTTTTGGAATGTACCTGATAGAACTGGAAAATAACCAGACTTTTTTTTACAACACAGGATCTGTGAGGAAAAGGTGTGCTCTAGAAATATGACTGGCTGTATGGAGCATAGATACAAGATGAGAATGAAGACATGGGAGGCAGAGCTGCTTCCAGATTTTAAGGAACAGATGACCTGACAAACAAAACGACTCCGTAACAGATGACCTCACAGTTCGATGATGGCACCGTGAAACATAAGTTTGAAACTCTGGAATTTTAATTCCTACCATCTCCGTGGAACTCCTAGTTCAGGAAGCAGTGGCCACATTCAAGCGGCATGAATGACTAAAAATTCCAATGTGGAAAATAAAAAATAAGACTCTCTGTTCATAGATGACATGCTTTTTATCTGTAGAAAGCCCTAAAGATCCCACATATATGCACCCCCAAAAGCTAAAGATAATAAACAAATTTAGCAACAAGTGAAAATCAGTTCCAATTTTATACAGTAGCAATGAATGCATAAAGAAGGTAAAAAAAAAATTTCATTTACGGTGAAAAAAATACTTGAGAATAAACTTGAGGTGAGACTTAACACTGAAAAGCACAAAAATTGGTGGAAGACATTCAAGAAGACATAAATAAATTGAAAGATACCCTGTGTTTGTGCATTAGAAGACTTCATATTGGTAAGATGAAAATACTACCCAAGATGAAAATACTACCCAAATTGACCTGCAGATCCAATGCAATCCCTATTAAAATCCCATGGTGTTTTTTGCAGAAATAGGAAAACCCATCCTAAACTTCACAGAAAATCTCCACTGACTTCAACAGTTAAAACAATCTGAAAATGAAGAGCTAAGCTGGAGGGCTCACAATTTCCAATTTCAAAACCTACTACAAAGCTACATTAATCAAAACAGTATGAGACTAGCAAAAGAACAGACACATAAGCCAATGGAATAAATAAAAATTCCAGAAATAAACCCCTGTATATATAGTCAATGAATTTTCAAAAAGGGTGCCAAGACCATTTGGGGAAAGGATAGCCTTTTCAACACATGGTTTCAGGAAAACTGGGTATCTCCCTGCAAAAAAGTGAAGTTGGACCCATATGTTATATCATACACAAACATTAACCTAAAATGGGTCAAAGGACTAAAACTATAAAACTCTTAAAGTGAAAACACAGGAGAAAATCTTAGTGACACTGGATTTGGTAATGATTTCGTGGATATGATACCAAAAATACAGGCAACAAAAGATAAGTGGATCAAAGAGAGTGATAAGGCAACCCACAGAATGGAAGAAAATATTTACAAATCACGTATCTGGTCAGAGATTAATATCCAGAATATATAAATAACGTCCACAACAACCAACAATAAAACAACCCAATTCAAGAATGGGCAAATGACTTGAACAGGCAGCCCTCCACGAATATACAAATGGCCAATAAGCTGCTCAAAATCCTAGTCACTAGGGGAATGCAAATCGAAATGACAATGAGATACTAGTGCACCCCCATTTAAATGACTATTAACCAAAACAGAGAAAGAGGGGTAAAAAGTGTTGGTGTGAATAGGGAAATTGGAACCTTCACGCATTGTATCCAAGAATGTAAAACAGTAGAGTCACTGTGAAAACCAGTAGGGAGGTTCCTCAGAAAAGTGAAACACGGAATTACCTTATGATCCCAAAATTCCACTCCTAGGAATGTACCCAAAAGAACCAACAGCAGAGACTCAAACTGATACTTGTATACCAGTGATCAGAGTGGCACTGTTCATGGTGGCCAACAAGCAGAAAGAGCCAAGCATCTATACACAGGTGAATGGGGTAACAGGATGTGGTTTCTACACACAGCGGAATCAGTGTTCCACTGACTCATCCATCGAAAAGAATGAAGGTCTGGGATACGCTGTGACACAGATGAACCTTGAAAACACAGCGCTACGTGAAATAAACCCTTGCCCAAAGCGACAAACATGGTATGATTTCACTTACATGTGGTACCCAGAACAGTCAAATTCATAGAGACAGACAGAGGGTGAGAATGGTGGTTCCAGAGTCTGTGGGGAGAGGAGGCTCGGGAATTGTTTAATGGTTAAGGAATTTCTGTTACAGCCAATGAAAGAGATGGTTGCACAGCTACATGACTATACTTAATGTTACTGCACTGAGCACTTAAAAATGCTTCCAATGGAAAAGCTGTATATATGCTATGAGATTTCTAGAACACTCAGCATGAAGAGCACTATGCTTTCTAGATGTGCTTCTACTGGGTCAAGAACACGGAGTTGACATGTAAGAACAAACGCTCCTTCTCTGCTCCTGGTGGGAGCTGAGGACGCCAGGTTGAAACTGTGCACTGTCCCCTCTTAGGAAAGGCACTCGAGATGCCCAAAGAGAAAGAAAACTTACGTTGCAGTTGGACGAGCCGTCGAATGTGGGGCAAGAACCATCTGGCCAGTCGGCAGGGTCCAAGGCAGCTGACTGCCGGTGCTGGGCCTCGTACTCCTTGAGCTGCCACAAGAGGAAATGGAAGGTTGAAACGGAAGTTAATGGCTGGCACCGTGTACCGAGCAGCAGAGAGAGCACGTCAGCACCTTCTTCATGTCATCGTCGTCACAAAGGGCCAGGAACACAAGGTTCTCAAAACCAAAACAAGGGCCCGCTCCCTGCCCTGTGGGTTTTCATCTAATTAAACCAACAGACACAACTGACTCTTCGTATTTTATTATGTATGCCAGACAGACCTTGATGTCCCCCCTCCTACATGGAAACTCATCTTTCCCAGTTGTAGATTCTAAAAAAATAATTGCCTATAGTCTGGCCTCTGAATCACCTCTCTCTGTAGAAGGCACAACGTGGTAGACTATGAACATTTGGGCAAAACAGAGACGGAAGCCTGAAACTGATTTTTAAAAGTCACGAGCTTTTCTTGTTCTAGACCGCTTCAAGTCACCAGGTCAATGTCACCGTGTCATAAGTACAGTGGGATTTGCTTGGGATGCTTGTGGACGAGAGGAAAGGAACATGCGGTCTAGGCTACGTGCAGAGATGTTTAAAGTTGGGGTTTAGAAACCAGGTTTCTAAAAACTACTTTCTTGAAAAACACAGAAAGACAAGTGAAATATTATAAGAAATTAGCAAATGCAATGTAGTCAAATTACATAAAGGATCCTTCTGAATGGCTAACGGTGTGTTTTTATAACACATATAGAAATTTAACTCTGCTACATAATAAAATGAACTTGTCACTGCATTAAAATTCTACCATAAAGCAGTTTTTCTATATGAATTTTAAGACAGTGATCAAATCGTGTTCCGTGAATAAAGCCACAAAAAAACCCAGAAACGGTGTGACCCGACTGCCCAGGAGGTGAGTCAGCACCGCCCTACACCATGGAGGCTATGTGGTGGGTATGGCAGAGCCACCGGGCTGACAATATCCTCCTTGCAACGTTCCGAAGCACTGCTTCTCCTAGGAAATTCTTTTCTGTGTATACAAGTGGTAGGAGGTAGACCGGGGAGGCAGACAGCCCTGATTAATGGGTAAGAGCTTAGCTGCAGAACCCAGAACCAGCTGAGAGCCCTTGGGCAAAGCATTACCCGCTCTGGGCCTCAGTTCCCCCTCTATCAGGAAAAAGGGGGTGACAGTACATCCGTCCGTCTCACAGGACAAAACAGCAGAGCTCTGAGCACACTGCACCTGTGCCGGAGACACATCAGCACAGCTTTGCTGTGATCACACTGTGGTTTCGGAATAAGCAGAGCTGAGTTCACAGACTCCAGGCATCTGCTCTCTGGCTACTCGGGGCACTGATCTCATTTTCATCTTTCTGGTGCTTTAGGGTGTTAGTTTTCTACTCTTTGTACTACACCTAAGTTACGTATTAGAATGCTCTCTCCTTCCAGATATACTCGTTTCTGCGATGCTACCTTCTCGCTGTATTATTGGAACAGCTGGCAGCTGAACAGTGGGGTTATCACTTGTTCTCTCTGGGTCTATGTTCCACTTTTTATACTCAAACTTAGCCCCACCTCCGAGGAGCCACGAAATAAACTTCATCACTAAAAACAAGACAAATTCCTAACTATTCAATCATAAACAGAGTTAGTATTTTTCTTCTGCTATCTGTCCACTTCTATCATTTTGGAGGTCAAGGTACCTATATTTCTTCAGATGGAGATTCTGATCTATGCTCTATCCAAATTGGCCACTTTTTGAAATTATCCTGAATTTCAAAATGCTTCATGTTTTATTGGAGGTCCTGTTGCAAAACACAATCTCTAAGATGTTTTTTTCTTTTTTAATCCTCACCTGTGGACATTCTTTTTCATTGCTTTTAGAGAGAGGAAGGAGGGGGGGGAGAGAGAGAAACATCAGCTGGTTACCTCCTGTATGTGCCTTGACCAGGGATCAAACCCACAACCTTTGGGTTCAGGGGACAACGCTCCAACCAACTGAGCCACATCAGCCAGGTCTCTAAAATGTTTTAAAGTACATTTTATGGGGGGAGACACGCACCTGGTTTCATTCGTATAATTTTACTTTTATATTCCACTCTGCTCCTGAAGAAGTTTTGACTTAAAATTTCATGAAGGAAAGACAACTAATAATTTGAGGATTTATATATTTTAAAGCAAATCTACAGAGTTTTAATTTAACTCCAGACTTTTTAAAATAATGACATTTTATAGTGTGCATCTCTGAGGAGAAAATCGCACCCTAGTGTTCCCAGCCTGACAGATTTCTTACGCTTGAAGTCTATGCCATGATTCTTAGAGGGAATGGCCATCTTTAGTAGACTGATGCTCATTCTGCCTTGAAGACCTTTAGGGAGAGATATTCCAGAATGTTCCCATTTCGAAGAGTGCTTATTGGAAAGAACATTTATAGTACATCTCCTCCAAATCCCCTCCAGCTGCAATTTTAACTCATTTCCTTTCATTCTGTCCTCAGTTGAGATTAAACAAAACACTCTTCAGTACATCCTCAAGATGTACTGTTTAATAATTCCTCACACATACTTGAGGAAAGTGATTAAACTCTTTGCTGCGTCTTCTCTGAGATAAATCCTTTCCAATTTCACCCCGTGGGACCTATTTTTAAAAAAAAACCCTCAGTTACTTTGTTGCTCTTCTATGGACTCTCTCCACGAGCCTCTCTAATTGGCCAAGTCACTGGGATTGATGCTCAATACCTGCTACAAGGAAATAATTCAAAAACATATATAAAGTTCCAGTTCAGCATGTTGCACTTCCCCAGTTCTTGTAGAGCTGGGCTCACACCTGCCCCCTGGCTCTGGAGAACCACCCTTCACCAAGGGTGGAGCTGGGGAGATAAGGACCTGTCTCCCCAGAGTGCCCAGAAGACTGCTCCCTCCTCCCCCTTCAGTGTGCAGCCTCTTGTTCTCTGGCAGGAGGAGTTCTACAGTGTAACTCATCTTCCAGGACCCCCGACTCCCTAAGGACTCAGGCTGAGCTGAGGCTTCTCCAGAAATCTCATCTCTGTCCTGCTTCTTTCTCTGCCTCTCCTACTTCCCTCTCTCAATTAGAATTTTCTCCCAAAAGCGCTCCTTTGCCAAATCATATGCTTAAGAATCCCCGACTCAGGCTCTGCTTCCAGGAACCTGACATAAGACACTGGCATGAAGAAAAGTTCACAGTGCCAAGACATCCGTCACATCAGTGACAAACACCACGTACTTTTTAAAAATATATATTTTAAGGACTCAAGTACATATAAAAATGAATCTAGATGTGACCTAGTGGAACGAGATGGATGCACTTCTCTACGACACAGCTCCACCTTTGCCGGCATCGTCGCACCGAAACCACAGGGTGCTTTTCAGCCAAAGCTTTCGAGGTGGGTTTACTCCCCACTCTCCTGTCCTCACTCACACGCCCCTGAAATCCCCCAGGTAAAGTAATACCCTGTGGCTCCCAAACCTTCCAGAACTAGTCCCAGGTTCGAATGCCTGACACTTACTTGCCAAGAGCCATGTGTGCTCTTACAATCAGCACCTGGAAATTGCGTTCTCTGGACACACCAGTTACCTAGAGCCCCCGAACCATTTTTGGTTTTACACGTGAGCTCCATTCCCTTAAAGCACAAGTATTAAGTATCCATCATCAAATTACTAGAAACTGCTTGAGATGCCACTAGATTTGATGGAACTCTTCGGTTATTCAGTGAAAACAACTTTAAAAATCGTAAGTTAGGCTGCTGTCTTTTTAAATTATACACCGAAAAAACAACCTGCTGTGAGCTGTGTCCTAAACTTCATTCTCTGCAAATGCTTAGGCAACTTAATGGTGTCCCACACATTAGCCCCCTGCCGCCTTTCCCATTCCGGTCTGGGTTCCTTTTGACAACTCGGGTTTCAGGGGCGCGCACCATGGCTGCACAGTTCACAGGGTGAAAACATCTGACAGTGAGACCAGAGTCACGTAAACAAAGCATGGTGGGCCCTCTTGTCTTCACTGGAACATGGCTGAAGTTTTCCCCAATGCAAAGATGTGCTGGAGGCTACACTCAGCTCCGTATGGTGCCTGGACAAACTTCTCTCTGGATGTTGGCTTATTCTCTCAGGATTAAAGTCTGTGTGCAGGTCTACACGTCTCTAACCGTGGGACCAACACCCCCCCAATGTGCCAGAGGAATGTCCCCATCAGGGTCACCATAGGAGGTCCAAGTCTCACTGTTTGTTTCGTCCAGCAATGACGTCAACCTAGATCCTTCAGCTGCTCCTAAGTCCTAGGAAGTCTATCCTTTCTGCAGACTATTTTCTGCTCTAACATTTTTCTTGAAATGACTGGTCTCCAGCCCATGAGAAGCCCATCCAGGCAGCGGTGACTGGGGATGCACCTGCGCCGCCGAGCAGGCCAGCCAGCTTCCCCTCCTGCATCTGTCCAAGGACACCCACTGCTGTAGGCAGAATCCAGCAGAGTTGGGAGAATGCCATCGACTTTTTCTTCTGTGTCTCTGGATTGCTGTATAGAAAATATTCTTGATCTCCCAATGAGCTCCTCCCTGAAACTCGGCCAGGCTGCATGGATGAAACCTCCACCCAGATGTGCACGGGATGGGGGGGGGGGCTGACTTCTCCTCTCCATGTGAACAATGGCTGCCTGTTAAAATTATGAGCTCAGAAAGAGCTTCAAGCAATTTTCTTCTCCCAAACTTTCAAAGTATTCTTTCATTTCCTTTTCAATTATAAAGCCGTGCTACCTTATGCAAACTACATTAAGGCTATTTTTAACATTTTCTCCTGCTCCATGAAGACAGGATGTGGCACATCACCTGCAACCCCCGCTTCCCGAACACAGCTGTAGTTGGACAGCCTGCGACATCTTCTGCATTCGGATCTTCGCTTTCATGATGAAAACAGAAAGCACTTGCTTGCTCCCCAGAAGGTGGCGTGTCTATCATGGTCAAACTACTCTACAGGTTCGTACTTCTCACATGTCTTTTCTAGGAACTCGAATGGACTCTTCCCAAATGGGACCACACATTCAGGAAATAAAATTGGAGAGAAAACGTATGGTGGATGTTTTCGCCCCAGCTGGGGCGAAATACCATACATTGATACCATACATTGATATTTCTCTCCCTCTCTCCTTCCCTTCCCCTCTAAAGATAAATAATAACAATCTTAAAAAAAAAATGTGGCACAGCAAACTGTAATTACTATCTACTTAAAATTTTAAGGTATATCTAAAACTTAACTTTTAGATTATTCAAAATCAAATTTGTGACAGTATCTTATAGAGAATTGATGTTTATAATGGTCATAATATATGTAATTTTTATTTAGGCTTCACTTAATTTTTATCATTTATGACATTCTTATAATCTTTTCACAAGGCTTGTGTGTTGTGCAACGGCATTCAGACTCACTTTCCTTGTTAAATCAGTCCACCCCCATCTATGTGACATTCATTCATTCATATATTCACTGAATGTGGAATTTTACCTCACGCCATGGACTGCTTCTGTTATGCAACAGAATGGAATCACTATTTTATCGGATAAGTACCTGATGACCACCAAAGTACCACCAGAATGCTACTCGGAATAACACGTCTCTATACTCTTTGATGCACCTGTCTTACACATGTCTGTTCACATTGCTCTACCTAATTACCGCAGGCAGGGTGGCTTACACACACCAGAAATTTCTCAGTCGTTGAGGCTGGGAAGTCCAAGATCAAAGTGCTGGCAGATTTCGTGCCTGGTGAGAACCTACCTCTCGGTTCAGAGACAGCTGTCTTCTCATTGTGTGTCCTCACATGGGGGGAGAGGGAGACCCGACCCTGGGGCCTCTTTGATAACATCCTTCATCCCATTCATGAGGGCTCCACTCCCAAGACCTAATCACCTCCCAAAGGCCCCACCTGCAAAACTACCGCACTGGGCACAAGGATTTAACACAGGGATTCGGTGGGGGGCGGACACAGACACGCAGTCTCCCGCAGGCCCCAAACCTTCCTCGTCGTGAGGAGGTCGCGCCTGCACACGTGTGAAGGGGGTCTCAGCCCTCTTACCCGAGCCAGTGCCTCCTCGATGGTGATCATCTTCTCCTTGACCATCATCATCAGCTGAATCCGCTCCTCGTCACTCATGGTTATCTCGCTAGCGACATAGCCCACGTCCTCTCCTAGAGAGAGAAAGAAACATCAGGGATGAACACAAGACCAGGTTTCCTCGAAAGTGTTTTCCTACAATGTAAACAGGCTGCCAACGCCTCGAATGTGCACGAGCCACAATGGCTGCGTGCGGCTGGTCAGCCTGTGGGAGGGATCTGTCGGTGCAGGTGGGCTCCAATGCGCGCTCTGGGAACAAGCCCTCAGTCTAGGCCCTCGTCCTTCTCCATCTTCCCACACATCCCTCACTAGCCTGGGTGTCATTAGGACGCTGGGCTACGGCTTAATTTGCCTTTGGTGCAAAGAGACAGAGGAAGGGAGGCTGGCGCACACTTGCAGGAGGCGTTCCATCAGGATCTGCCCTGGAATTTACGTTCCCCTGTGCCTCCCTGTCTCATTTCCATTTCATAATCCATCAGTCTGGACACTGTTCCAGTTCCCCTCGCCCCTCGTCTCTGCACACGGGAAGGATAATAGAGTGGGCTGCCCGTTGGTTTGATTCATGTTCCTCTGCGTCACCTCCAGTGGTGGCAGTGGCTGGGGGGTGAGGGGTGGCGACAGAAAGTTGGTTGGGTTTTAAAATAAATCCATGCGATCTGGTCAACTTCCATTTCTCTCCTTTATTCCCTCCTTCCCTTTCTCTCTCCCTCTTTCTCCTTGCCTTTCTTCCTAAAGAAGGCTGTGTTAGAATCCAAGGTTGACTTTGAATCGCAAGTGATTCTGAGCATGTACCTGAGGAAAAACTCAGAGTGTTCAAGAAGCATTCTGTTTCGACAGGACAAATTAAAAAAATAACGCCACCGAATGTCACCAAAGAAGCCAGGCACGCTGCTGGCATGCACATGGTCTGTGTCCACTCTTCTCGCTTCCGCGTGTATGAAAAAGCGCAGGAGGCTTCTGAAGAGGGTAGGACACTAAGATTTTGTCAAAGAAAATCAAGTCAGGTCACTGGTGAGTAACTAAAATGTTCCTGTACTGATAACCGCCATCAGCAGGACTGGAGCCTGGAAGTGGCTTTGTTTCCGTTCCCCTCTGAATGCCTGGGAGGCAGAAATTATGTAACTGGGCCTCAGAGGGATGACATATTTACTTACTGTATCAACAACAACAAAGGCCCTGGCCGGGAGGGGGGAGGGGGAGGAGCTGCGAGCACGCCTCCCTCCACAAGGCAGCTCTGGGCAAATTCCCATGATGTCAGGCCACGAGATAGAGTTTCCAGGGGCAACAACCCAGTGACTGTCCCTGCGTCTCTCAGTCCCTCTGGCAGACAAGCATCAAAAGTTCAGAAGACTGCAAAGGCCACAGGGTGGGGTAGCGGGGAGGGTCCCAAACTAACAGACCCTAGAGCTTTGAGGGTCCATCTGGGTGAGCAAAGATGTGCCTCAGGTCGCTGTGACGGAGAAAATGAAAAATCCGGTCTTTGCTGCCAGACCTACGTACAGTCAAGCTTGCCGGCTCTCCCCGTCCTGTTTTCTTTGATTTAAAAAAATAAAAATCCCCACTGGGATGAAGTTTTACGTAATGATAGGAATGTCAGACAGAAAGTTGAACATTTTACGGGCACTCTTGATGAGTTATTCTAACTTGCAGCAACCATTCAGATCAGAGCCACAGACTCCCTAACATTTGCGAGCTAAAAGGGCCCACTGTCCGCCAGCTGTTTCGGTGGTACCTTTTGAAGTCTGCCTCATTATTCCTTTCTGGTTCTTCCGGAAGTTCTGCCAGAAATACTTATTTTTCTTCTTCCAATCTCCTTTTCCTTTAAAAAAAAAAATTAAAAAGACACAAGCAATAAATCCATTAATAACAAAAGTAGCCCCTTCCTTATAATTCAAAGCTTGCAAGAGTACTTTGATTTCACAAAGACAGTTTTGCAGTTTCAGTCTGTGCAAGGCTTGAAAATGCCTATAAAGTTGTTTAAAAGAAATGCAAATTTCCTGGGGCAGGAAATGCTGCAGTAGGAATAAACTGAGCAATAAGGGAGCATCAAAAAGGCAGGCAAAACATGCATTCCTGCATTCTCTTTGATGTTTGTGTAACTCTCATCTAATCTGCTGACTCTTGGGGTATATTCCCCACCCCCTTTGGTCTCGGCCACAATTATTTGCCAACTAAACCACAAGTAAAATACTTGCAGAAGTTAACTTTGTTTTGTTGTTATTCTTGTTGTCGGTCTACCCTTGGTTTACTTCTGTCATTGCAGAGACAATGACGAGAATAGCTGGTACACCCCGGGCGCACAGGCCTGGGGCTGGCTCCCGGGCCTGTGGGGTGCCCCACGCCATTTCTCCAAGGCGTGGAGTTGCATGCGTCCAGCCAGCAATGCCATGGGTGGGGCAGGGTCCTCAGCTCTGTGGCATCAGGCCACTGGTGACCTTCCTACAGCTTACCCAGGGCACAAGGACAGAAAAAGCAGACTGTCCTCCTGCTGTGACAGCTCCCAAGGAGACCCCCTTCTCCTCCTCCCCAGACTGATATGAATGGGCGGCTTTCAAGTGAAAGCAGATTGTCACAGCTAGATATTTTTAATACCTGGTACGGTTTTCTGGTCATCAACACGTAATAACTTTTAAAAACCAATGGGAAATGAAGCCAGTAAAACAGACGGTGAGAGGGACCCTTTGTTCTTTAAGAACAAAAGGCAGCGGCACAGACCCGTTCAGACGTGGCACGCTCAGGGCAGCTTCGCCGCCGCTTGGTGTCTGGTGGCCCCACAGCCCTGGAGAGGGCCCAGCAGAGTGGCACCCTGTCGGTTCCCACAGTCTAGACTGGTGGTGCCAGGCAATGCCACAGAAAAGACACACATGGGGACTAGAAAAGGCACCGTCTGTCGATACAGGATGCGCTCATCTGAGTTCTGAACCCCCTGGAGCTGCGGGAAGGGAGCCGGCTGGGAGCCTGAGACTCCGATGTGCTCAGGACGTCCAGGGCACGCTTGACCGTGCTGGCTGCCTTTGGGTTCAAGGCCACAGCAGATGCGGGCCGTGAAAGGTTAAAGCAGAAGTAGGATATTACTCCTTCAACCTTTCTCCAGGGCAATCTGCAATATAATGCATTTCTCTAACGGTAAACTACACTCCCCCTTCTCCCATTTTATTGCTTCTGAAATGAAGATATAGCTTGAAACATAAATGGTACTAGCTAACATTTATGTAGCACTTACTGTATCCAAGGCACTTTGCTATCTAACAACATATTTCATTTAACACTGACAATGAACATATATTATTGTTCCCATTTGGTGGGTGAGAAAACTGAGGCTCAGAGAGACAAGGACTGTGCCCAGGGTCCTAACTATTAAGCAGGCAGAGTCGTGAGTCAAATGAAATCAAAGCCTGATTTGAGTATTCATGCTATGTTCCTAGTCACGATTACTTTGCCAGGTGCCCTCTGACCCAAACACAAAAGATGTTACTAAATCAAGAGTGGATTTTACAATCAAGGAAATTCAAAAGTTCCAAATTGAAGGATTTATCCCTGATCAAGAACATGATCAGGTATAGGCTCAAGAATTTTTATGGTAACATCTTTCTCTGTGATAGAGAAAAAACCTGGAAACTAAATGTTCAGCAAAGCAGCCACTGGTTGCTTGAACTATGGCACATCCACTACGGCAAAGCCTCATCCAGATGTGACCAGTTTACCGTGAGCAATACCCAACCATGTGAGGATATGGTCAAGACACATTCGATTGAAAAAATTATACAATAATATGTAGAATATACAATAATATGTAGAATATCAGCTACTTTTTTTACTCATACAAATACGGTAAGCAAGAGGGGGAAATTGCACATCAGTATCTTAATGATGTTTATTTCAAGGCAGGAGGCTTCTTTGTGGTCTTTTGTACTTACACATATTTATGGGTTCTATAAAGTGTTAAAGGAAAGTAGTTTTAAATTGATAAAATCAAGAAAAGAGGTACTGACCCACGGAGCTGTCTTCTGAGTTTGACTTCCGAAGAGAGTTCCTAGAAAAGCAAAACGAGTCTGATTAGTGGGGAGCCTCAGGCAGCGTCAGTACATCGTAGCACAGCCAGGCACGTTTTTGTAGGGGATTTACCAGTGGCCTCCTCCATCCATCGACGGCCTTTCTGAAAACACACACACGCATTTATTAAAGACACACTCCAGGGTGAGACTATACTAAATGAAGGGAACGGACTTCACCAGGCGGTCACCGAAACATCTGCCATCTCTATGAACTGTTAACAACCCATTAAGTTACCATCACAAAGAGGCCTCTTGTGTAAGTAGGAAAAAGAAGGCACAGAATAGTGAAAGAACAGACCTAAACACCTCAAATGCCCTTTGGGCCAGGAGGTGAGGAAGGTGGTCAGCTGCAGGAGAAATAATGGGGGAAGTGCGGGACCCACAGAGAGAGGGCAGCCAGTGTACAGGTGGTACCTCCAGCCGGGAGGTACCCACTGGGCAGGGCATTGTGCATGCGGCTAGATCTCCCTGTGTTCAAAGAGAAGCCAGAAACCTGCATTTTTTAAAATGAGAGCTCCACTCTTTTAAGTGATGGTGAGTCGATGTTTCTAAAATGTGCCCAAGTTAATCAAGACATGTCTGAACCTCAGATTGGGTCCGGGCCCTGCCCGGGCCTGACAGCCAGTTGGACTGCTGATACAGATGGACCCAAGCAACCTAAACATGAACACAGCCCTAAACCAGGTTATTAAGCATTTCTCCAGCAAGCCTATAGACTTACAGTTTTTTTCATTATACACATCTACTTTCTTCAAATTATCATATGCTTTGAAGAATTTATCCTCGGGGTTGCACTCTGGATTTTTTCCATTTTTTGTAAGAGGTGCTTCCACTAGACATTCCTTGCATTACCCTAGGAAGCCAGCAGATGGCACTGTAGATTCTTTATTCACCTTGTTCCAGATTTTTATTTCTAAAATTTCGCAGTCTAGATACTGGCCAAAGAATGGCAATGTTTCATAAGCGTGAGGCTACCCAACCCATCAATTTGCAAAGGGGGAAAATGACACCACGTGAAGTTTGATTTGGACGCAGTGAACTGTCCCTGCAAACAGAAGCTGGCAGAGCAGCGGAGCGAAGTGCCATCTCCTTTCTCCTTGAGACTGATTATAAAATTCATCCAGCAGGAGGGACAATCAACGATGTAACCAAATTCCAAATGTGGACGGCAGCAGGTGGAGGGGTCATTTACTGATCTCCTGGTGGAAGAAATTAATGCTCAGAAGCCAGTTCCAGAGGCTTCCTAGGAACACACACATCCCTCCAGCCAGACACTGGGGCCTGAAAACGGCAGCTCGGGAAGCAGTTGTCAGGCCCTTTCTGTGTGTCAGGTTCACTGCCAACAGGGTAAGAAAGATGGGAACTTCAGCACCGACTTGGGCGGCCTGGAAGCAACAATGACGTTCTGTTGCACTTTGAAAACTGATTGTGCATTTAAAAATCATCGAGTTCCACCAGCAAGTCTCTGAACTCAATCTCAGTACCTTTTCATCAGTAACTACTAGGGAGACCCCCCAACTGTGCACATGTTAACATTTTCCCTTGAGGCCCCTAAACTACTGTAGTCCTCAATGAAGCCCTCAAGAAAATTCATAAAGAATTAATAAATTAGATTTAAAAAATTAAGACAGCATGGCTAGAACTTTTGGTCCTCCCTCAGTGTTTAGCAAATTCTATGTTAAGTTCCTTCCTTTGTTTTCTTTCTTCCTTCCTTCATTCCTTCAATAAATATTTATTTGGCCCCCATTAAAGTCTAGCATCCACTCAGGCACTGAGAACAGCGATAGATACAGGAGACTGGTAAGATCTCAGTTTTCTTGGAGCTGGGCTGGGGGAAAGAAGCCAGTGGGGGGTACAGATTAAGAAGTGGGGGGATTCCAGATGGGAGGGATGGAGAAGGCCTCTCTGAAGAGATGACAGCTGAGCAGAGATCTTAATAACGTGTTGAGATAATACCCAGTCCCTCAAATGAGGGGACTGGGTCAGGAAGAGCAGGGGAGGTAAGCAGTTTGGCTGCATTAAGTCCGAGGTGCCTATGAGCATCTTTGTGGGCAGGTGGGATATACCAGACTAGAGTTCCGGGGAGTGTTGAGGGCTGGAGACAGAAACTTGTAAGTCATCTGCTTATTGAAAGCTAGGAGACCCACTGAACATAATGGAGAGAAGCCGTGTGAAGGCTGAGCTCAGAGGCAATTCCACTCTCAGGAGTCAGGACAGAGCAGGCAGTGGGCCTTAGGGGTAGTGGTCAGAGGAGAATGAAGAGCAGGACAGCACCCTTTACCTTTTCCAACTAGGATAATATTAAAATCAATTTTGCACAAACATTACCACTGCTTCAAATGACTCATACAGGGCAAATTCTGGGTTGAATCTATGGCTTCACAGTGGAGAGGCTCCAAAGACCATAGAAGAGAAACTAACCCACATCAAAATGGAACTCTTTACATTTGCACAGAATTCCATCTCTTAAAGAAAAGGCTCTTGTTGAACCTCCCGTCAGAAAACAGGCCGATCACCGAGACCCGGGAGGGATGACCCACCTGAGGACACGGACAGAGCTGGACAGGATGGAATGGGGCGCAGAAGCCCTGGCTCTGCCTCCTGCACTCGAGGCCCTGTCCCCGTCCCGTTTCCTGTTTACCAAACAGACACTCACACAGCACGTTCTGGCCCTGTTCTTGGCTAAGTTACTGAAATGATACTCAGAAGAACTTGGGGAGGCAGAGCATGTTTTCAACACCAAATTCCAACATGGCCCACGGGCTTACTAACACCGAGTATTTCAACAGCACCTTCCAGGATTCGGCCATGTTGCAACTGCAGGATCCTCCCTGGTGTGAGTGTGGAAGGAGGGGGCCAAACGATGCGGCTCAAACTCATTTTTCTTCTTATGTCTATTTATATACAAATAGTCTGAGAGCGCTCCAGGCAAAGACAACTCTATCTCGCTGCTCCACACTTAAGTCTGGCACACCAGGAAAGGAGAAGGAATGTCCAAGCACAAAGGAATTCCTAAAATAGACTTCATGTTTTTGTTTTGATGGACTGTCCAGAAACTTCATTACAAAGAAAGAAGAAAGAAAGAAAGAAAGAAAGAGAGAAAAACTGTTCTAATCCAATGTCTAAGAAAGAAACATGTGTTATGTGTTACTGGGAAACCTATCTGTGAGAGATTTTTAAGGTTCTTTATCTTGAGTCTCCGGAAATACACTTCTCTCCATTAGTTTCTTTCCTGATGAACTTTGAATGGTGGCTTTTGCAGTGTCTGGTCTTTGCCTGCATCATCTAGGGCCTGCCAAGGCCGTCCCCAAAGCCAGCAGCATCTGCCTGAGGACACAGAGAAAGGACCGAGACATCCGTGCTACCCAATTCTGCGTGTCCGGAGGGCCGTGGAGGAAGGTGAAAGGGTCGAGGGGACTTTAGCGAGTTACTGCTTTCTCTTTCTCTATGACAAATATAACTAAGTACTCACATTCATGTTTCGCACATTTAGTGACAAATAACTTTATGTAAACTAGGTAATTCCTGAATTTGATAAGTGTGATTACCCTTTGGGTATCAAAGATGTCCAAAGGTGTTTTCATCCTAGGAGAGCATCTCTCTTCATTTGAAACAAATCCCCGTTCACACCACCTACTGTCCGCAAAAACGCAAGGGTCAGCCCCTTCCTCGGCCTCAGGGCCAGGACTCGGGCAAGGCAAGGGGCACCGAGTGTCCACCGTGTGGGCAGTGCTCACTCTCGGGGAGGGTGCGTGCAAGAGGTGAGCGGCACCTTAAAACCTGCGCCCCACACAGTTCTCTTGCTTTCCCTTCGGGAGTGGGCCCTTCCCAGCCAATAGCTGCTGGATTTCACACACAGGATAGAATTCAGCTTTCCAAAGTCACTGGATCGGATGGAAAGTAATTCTGTTGCCAAAATCTGGCATATTGTTAGAACTCCCTGGATATTCATTATGAATGACAACAGCGGTGACATTTTGTCATGCTGGTGAAAATAGAGGCTTTTTCTGTCATTTCACAGTCTGTTCCCAGGCTGTACTTTCTGGCTTTTACTACAAGGTCACCTTTATAAATGAACAAGGCAGGTAGGTGTCTGATGTACCCAATGCAAGGCACAGGGGAGTCACTCACACATTCAGGGGTCAGGCACAACCGGGACAGCCCTGCCATAAACCTCAGCCGTGCTTTCTTTTCATGCGATGTAATGACGATAAAAACAGTACCTCCCTTCAGGGACTATCAGGAGGATCGCATGAGACGACGCACAGAAGGGGCTTAGCCCAGCGCCTGCCACGTGCGAGTTCCCCCAAAATGTGCCCTCTCGTGACTCGTCTCCAGAGCGTGCCCACGACGTGGCTCCTAGACTCCAGCAGTTCCTGAACCACCAGGGTTCCTCCTTTTTTAAAAAAATATCTACTTCCCTTAAATATTTTAGATGGATATAATTTCCTTCTCTTGTCAATCACACTTTATACAAATAATTTGTTCTTCTTAGAATTAAAAAGAAGCCCTGGCTGGTGTAGCTCAGTGGATTGAGTGCGGGCCTGCAAACCAAAAGATTGCGGTTTGATTCCCAGTCAGGGAACATACCTGGGTTGCAGGCCAGTTCCCAGTAGGGATGCACGAGAGGCAACTATGCATTGATAGTTCTCTCCCTCTCTCCTTCCCTGCCCCTCTAGAAGAAAAATAAATAAAATCTTTTTAAAAAAAGGATTAAAAAGAAAACCCAAGCCAACGATTAACATGATGTCAGTACAGAATTGCATGGGCCACTGACTGGTATCTAGACATGAATAACATTATCTCGGCCGTTTTCCCAGGGCCCACCATGCGGAAAGCTGCCCAGAACAATGGCTCCCAATGTGGGTTCCGCTCTCTAACTAGTAACTTTCGGCACAAGTGACTGAGTCTCGTTGAACCCTAGTTTCCTGCTACGCAAAATGTAGACAATAAACATCACTGATGGCACAGGTTTTAT